CATTCCTGACCCATGTTGCATCTATTCCGGTTTACCTCTGTCCTTTACCTTCTGAATTTCCTCCACTCCCTCCTGCTTCTTGCTTTTACTTCCTGGCACTATCTGTTGAACCTCGGGTTGTTTATGTCTCCAGTTACTTCCTGGCACTATCTGTTGAACCTCGGGTTATTATATGTTCTCCTGTTACTTCCTGGCACTATCTGTTGAACCTCGGGTTTTTATATGTTCTCCTGTTACTTCCTGGCACTATCTGTTGAACCTCGGGTTTTTATATGTTCTCCTGTTACTTCCTGGCACTATCTATTGAACCTCGGGTTGTTTATGTCTCCAGTTACTTCCTGGCACTATCTATTGAACCTCGGGTTGTTTATGTCTCCAGTTACTTCCTGGCACTATCTATTGAACCTCGGGTTGTTTATGTCTCCAGTTACTTCCTGGCACTATCTGTTGAACCTCGGGTTGTTTATGTCTCCAGTTACTTCCTGGCACTATCTATTGAACCTCGGGTTGTTTATGTCTCCAGTTACTTCCTGGCACTATCTGTTGAACCTCGGGTTGTTTATGTCTCCAGTTACTTCCTGGCACTATCTGTTGAACCTCGGGTTGTTTATGTCTCCAGTTACTTCCTGGCACTATCTATTGAACCTCGGGTTGTTTATGTCTCCAGTTACTTCCTGGCACTATCTATTGAACCTCGGGTTGTTTATGTCTCCAGTTACTTCCTGGCACTATCTGTTGAACCTCGGGTTGTTTATGTCTCCAGTTACTTCCTGGCACTATCTATTGAACCTCGGGTTGTTTATGTCTCCAGTTACTTCCTGGCACTATCTGTTGAACCTCGGGTTGTTTATGTCTCCAGTTACTTCCTGGCACTATCTGTTGAACCTCGGGTTGTTTATGTCTCCAGTTACTTCCTGGCACTATCTGTTGAACCTCGGGTTGTTTATGTCTCCAGTTACTTCCTGGCACTATCTGTTGAACCTCGGGTTGTTTATGTCTCCAGTTACTTCCAGGCACTATCTGTTGAACCTCGGGTTGTTTATGTCTCCAGTTACTTCCTGGCACTATCTGTTGAACCTCGGGTTGTTTATGTCTCCAGTTACTTCCTGGCACTATCTGTTGAACCTCGGGTTGTTTATGTCTCCAGTTACTTCCTGGCACTATCTATTGAACCTCGGGTTGTTTATGTCTCCAGTTACTTCCTGGCACTATCTATTGAACCTCGGGTTGTTTATGTCTCCAGTTACTTCCTGGCACTATCTGTTGAACCTCGGGTTATTATATGTTCTCCTGTTACTTCCTGGCACTATCTGTTGAACCTCGGGTTGTTTATGTCTCCAGTTACTTCCTGGCACTATCTGTTGAACCTCGGGTTGTTTATGTCTCCAGTTACTTCCTGGCACTATCTGTTGAACCTCGGGTTGTTTATGTCTCCAGTTACTTCCTGGCACTATCTGTTGAACCTCGGGTTGTTTATGTCTCCAGTTACTTCCTGGCACTATCTGTTGAACCTCGGGTTGTTTATGTCTCCAGTTACTTCCTGGCACTATCTGTTGAACCTCGGGTTGTTTATGTCTCCAGTTACTTCCTGGCACTATCTGTTGAACCTCGGGTTGTTTATGTCTCCAGTTACTTCCTGGCACTATCTGTTGAACCTCGGGTTGTTTATGTCTCCAGTTACTTCCTGGCACTATCTGTTGAACCTCGGGTTGTTTATGTCTCCAGTTACTTCCTGGCACTATCTGTTGAACCTCGGGTTATTATATGTTCTCCTTTCACTTCCTGGCACTATCTATTGAACCTCGGGTTGCTATATGTTCTCCTACTTGTGTGTGAGCACTCACCTAGTTGTGCTTGCGGAGGTTGAGCTTCGGCTCTTTGGTCCAGCCTCTCAACCGTCATTCAACAGGTGTACAGGTTCCTGAGCTTATTGGACTTTTTCATAATTACATTTAAAGCTGTGTATGGAGTCAGTCTCCACCACATCACTTCCTAATGCATTCCATTTATTAACTACTATGACACTAAACAAATTCATTCTAATGACTTTTTGACTCATTTGGGAACTCACTTTCCACCTGTGTCCCCTAGTGCGTGTGCGCCTTGTGTTAAATAGCCTGTTTTTATCTACCCTGTCAATTCTTCTGAGAATCTTGTACATGGTGATCATATCCCTCCTAACTGTTCTATCTTACAGCGACGTAAGGTTTAATAGTTTCTCCTCATAGCTCATACCTCTCAGATCGGGTACTGGTCTGGTGGTAAACCTTTTAACATTTTCCAGTTTAGTTTTATGCTTGACTAGGTTTAGACTCCATGCAGGAACTGCATACTCCAGGATTGGTCTGACATTTGTGGTATACAAAGTTATGAATGATTTCTTACACTAGTTTCTAAAGGCCGTTCTTCTGTGGGCCAATCTGGCATATGCCGCTGATGTTATCCTCTTGATATGGGCTTCAGGGACAGGTCTGGCGTGATATCAACCCCCAAGTCTTTCTCTCTGACTCTTGAAGAATTTCATCTCCCAAATGATACCTTGTATCTGGCCTCCTGCTCCCTACACTATCTTCATTACGTTACATTTCCTTGGGTTAAACTCTAACAACCATTTCTTCGACCATTACTTCAGTTTGTTCAGGTTTTCTTGAAGCCTCAAGCTGTCTTCCACTGTCTTAATCTTTCTCATAATTTTGGCATCGTCAGCAAACATTGAGAGGAATGAATCTATACCCTCTGGGAGACCATTTACGTATATCAGAAGCAGCATAGGTCTGAGTACAAAGCCCTGTGGGACTCCACTGGTGAATTCAAGCCACTCTGAGGTCTCACCCCTCTCTAACTCTCTGCTTCCTATTGCTTAGGTACTCCCTTATCCACTGGAGAACCTTACCAGTTACTCCTGCCTGTCTCTCCAGCTTTTGTACCAGCCTCTTATGCGGTACTGTGTCAAAAGCTTTCCGACAGTCCAGGAAAATGCAGTCCGCCCAGCCTTCTCTTTCTTGCTTAATCTTTGCTTAATCTTTGTCGCAGAATTCTATTAAGTCAGTGATGCAAGATTTACCCTCCCTGAACCCATGTTAGTAGTTTGTCATGAAGCCCCTTCTCTCCAGATGTGTTACTAGGTTTTGTCTCACGATCTTCTCCATCACCTTGCATGGTATATGAAAGGTGTGTGTGTACTCACCTATTTGTACTCACCTATTTGTGCTTGCGGGGGTTGAGCTTTGGCTCTTTGGTCCCGCCTCTCAACTGTCAATCAACTGGTGTACAGATTCCAGAGCCTACTGGGCTCTGTCATATCTACATTTGAAACTGTGTATGGAGTCAGCCTCTTCCACATCACTGCCTAATGCATTCCATCTGTTAACTACTCTGACACTGAAAAAGTTCTTTCTAACGTCCCTGTGGCTCATGTGGGTACTCAGTTTCCACCTGTGTCCCCTTCTTCGTGTACCACCAGTGTTGAATAGTTTATCCTTGTCTAGCCGGTCGATTCCCCTGAGGATTTTGTAGGTAATGATCATATGTCCTCTCTTCTGTCTTCCAGTGTCGTAAGGTGTATTTCCCCCAGCCTTCCCTCGTAACTCACGCCTCTTAGTTCAGGGACTAGTCTAGTGGCATATCTTTGAACTTTTTCCAGCTTCGTCTTGTGCTTGACAAGGTACGGGCTCCATGCTGGGGCCGCATACTCTAGGATTGGTCTTACATATGTGGTATACAAAATTCTGAATGATTCCCTACACAGGTTCCTGAAGGCAGTTCTGATGTTAGCCAGCCTCGTGTATGCCGCAGACGTTATTCTTTTTATGTGGGCTTCAAGAGACAGGTTTGGTGTGATATCAACTCTTAGATCTTTCTCTCTGTCCATTTCATTAAGTCCTTCATCTTCTATTCTGTATCTTGTGTCTGGTCTCCTGTTTCCACCGCCTAGTTTCATAACTTTGCATTTACTCAGGTTGAACTTTAGCAACTATTTGTTGGACCATTCATTCAGTATGTCAAGGTCATCTTGTAGCCTCCTACTTTCATCCTGTGTTTCAATCCTCCTCATAATTTTTTCATCATCAACAAACATTGAGATAAAGGGTGAGTGTGTGTGTGTGTTTGTGTGTGTGTGTGTGTGTGTGTGTGTGTGTGTGTGTGTGTGTGTGTGTGTGTGTGTGTGTGTGTGTGTGTGTGTGTGTGTGTGTGCTCGCGCGCGCGCACCTGTCAGCAAAATCGATATATTAACTCCTGAATCATGTCATTCTAAATTATGTTTAACTAATGAATTTGTGTGAGTATATGTGTTTGTAAGTGTGTCCAAGTGTTTGTATTTGTGTTTGTAAGTGTGTCCAAGTGTTTGTATTTGTGTTTGTAAGTGTGTCCAAGTGTTTGTATTTGTGTTTGTAAGTGTGTCCAAGTGTTTGTATTTGTGTTTGTAAGTGTGTCCAAGTGTTTGTATTTGTGTTTGTAAGTGTGTCCAAGTGTTTGTATTTGTGTTTGTAAGTGTGTCCAAGTGTTTGTATTTGTGTTTGTAAGTGTGTCCAAGTGTTTGTATTTGTGTTTGTGTGTCCAAGTGTTTGTATTTGTGTTTGTAAGTATGTCCAAGTGTTTGTATTTGTGTTTGTAAGTGTGTCCAAGTGTTTGTATTTGTGTTTGTAAGTGTGCCCAAGTGTTTGTATTTGTGTTTGTAAGTGTGTCCAAGTGTTTGTATTTGTGTTTGTAAGTGTGTCCAAGTGTTTGTATTTGTGTTTGTGTGTCCAAGTGTTTGTATTTGTGTTTGTAAGTATGTCCAAGTGTTTGTATTTGTGTTTGTAAGTGTGTCCAAGTGTTTGTATTTGTGTTTGTAAGTGTGCCCAAGTGTTTGTATTTGTGTTTGTATGTGTGTCCAAGTGTTTGTATTTGTGTTTGTTTAATGTGTTTGTGTGCATTACTTACGTTCAGATAACTGAAGCCTTATCTCTTCCTGAAAGACAATTGGACGCCTCACCAAACAATCATCTACCTTGCCAATGATGTATAATGACTCGCCTATGATGTATAATGACTCGCCAATGATCTATAATACCTCACCAATGATGTATAATTACTCGTCAATGATGTATAATGCCTCACCAATGATGTATAATGCCTTGCCAATGGTGTATAATGCCTCGCCAATGATGTATATTGCCTCATCAATGATGTATAATGCCTCGCAAATGATGAATAATGCCTCATCAATGATGAATAATGCCTCACCAATGATGTATAATTCCTCACCAATGATGAATAATGCCTTGCCAATGATGTATAATTCCTCACCAATGATTTATAATGCTTCAGCAATGATGTATAATGCCTCGCCAATTATGTATAATGCCTCGCCAATGATGTATAATGATATGCATGATTTCTACTCTAGTATATAATATCTTTCAAAGATTCCCAAGGACCATAACAAGTTTGGCTCTGAACCTATGACTTATAGATTTTGTAATAATAAATTTGATAATTAATGCACAAAGAATTTAGAGAATTGGGTTGTAAAACTTCTGTCTAAATTGGAGTGATTCCCACACACACATCTTTTTCTTTGGGGGGGGGGGGGGGTTGGGTAAATTCTATAATATTAGTCTACATAATATGAAAATAACATGGGCATAAATCATTAGAAACAGTAAGATATGGGATGATAAGTTAACTACAAATGGAAACAGATAACGGATTAGCTGCCAAAGTTGAACGTAAATTGCGTCGAGCAGTTATGACCAGTTTACTATTGTCCGCGTCGGTATCTCTGGCGACACGTGATTATACAGGCTGACTTACCATTTCCTTGCATCTAACTCCATGCTGAAATATGAATCATATGTAATATCCATCTTTGAGTACATATTCCCACACATATTCATAAATTTAGTGCTGATAGAATATGATTATGACACTCACAGTTGTTGTTTTGATTGCATGCTGTATAACGACAAGGCACCAACATAAACATAAAAAATTGCCCAAATTAGTTTGAATGTGGAACTCAGCCTTGCAAGACGCAGTGTCCGTAATCTTATGGAAGCTGTCGAATCGACCCGAAGCTCGTTACTGCACGGATGCTCCTCTATTTGGTCAATAATAAGGATCAGCTGCAGGACACTAGATCGTAATGGCGTCTACCTCTGCCAAGTATTACAGACTGTGGGTTGGTTGGTGTTGTCGTCGTTGATCCTTCTCTACGGACAACCCAACCCACAACTCGGTAGAGTGCTTATACTTCACTAGGAGATCACCCTTGGCGCTTCTGGCTCTTGGAGAGGGGCTCAACGTCACACATTTAGGGGATGCGGCTCCAACACCTAGCCTCGTTGTCACGTGCACACACCCACTCGAGCCGCTGTGACTCCCCACTCTCTCCTTAGGTAATATGATCTCCTCGATCCCCTTTTGGCTTATTAGTACTACCTTCTACCCTGTCCACAGCAGTGGTTCTTGGTTCTTTCTCTCTCTCTCTCCTTCTGTACTATTTCATGGGAAGCCTCACTAGGACAAGGGCAAACACCAGCAAATTGGGATACATTTACTGGACAAAGCACATACACGATACATACACACATATAATAATAATGAATCCTATACTCTATAATATTACAATCAGGTTGCACTCCAACACCATCAGAACTCTATTATCAGCTTATCAAGTGGTATCCTATCTCCTGCTTCACCACCTGATACTATCAACCTCCTCAAGTCGATCAAGTCTACATACACTGTTGTACCATCAGCAAGAGAATATATATATATATCTATAAATGTGTACAAAGAAAATCAGCATTTGAATGCAATAACATATATCAGCATAAATGTTCCTTGCTACACTGCAATGATCAATCGATCACCCTATCAGTCCTAGAACGCTTACATCTGTAGGTAATCCAGCCTACGACTGTAACTCTAAATTTCAGTATAAAACATTCCTTGACATAAGAATGCCAACAATCACTCACCTCTCACTGCGTCTTGCACGCTAATGACAACCAAACACTATCAACTCCCTACCAGTAATCCACCAGAACTTCCCTTCCACATCTGGAAGTTCACTACCCTAATATCCTTAGGTTCTTCCGGGCTTCACTACCAGGATCCTCTGCAGCTCCTCTAGGCTGCTATCATGAAGTTTCCTTGAGTAACTACGGTGCTTCACCCTTCTGCTAGGTTCCTCCACAGCTCTCTTGGCTGCTACACCATGAAGTTTCCTCGAGCAACTATGGTGCTTCACCACCTCTACAGAAGCACGTGACACTCCTCTTCACTGCTGCTTCTCCTCACAGCTCGAGGTCCTCTCCTCCACTACCTTGGAGTCTCATCAATTACTTCATCTGTGCTGGCTTCGAAGTTCACAGCAACCTCTTCCCCAAAGACATACCTGCAACCCATCGACGCTCCAATAAAATTGTTTCCCCTTTAACACATAAACAAAAATAACCACACAATATGCTTGCCTCAAACCTCTATCTGTCCTCTACATACAGTGAGAGTGGACTCCCCCGTTTTGGGCGGGTCCATACTCCACCTCGCCCGGCGGCGGTCCTCACTCACGCTGGGAGGGTCCTTCGCCGTCAGGAGCCGGGCTCCCTCAGTTGTCTGCCAGCGTTCAGAGGGGACGGACGTCGCTCCGTGTTCCTCCCTCTCCACTCTCTTATTTCAGGCCTTCTGCCTTATTAAAACATGTCTAACTTATAAAATAAACATCGCTACTGTCGCTGGGCACACGACCAACTACAAGCAATCACTATGAACTGGCGTATATCGTGCTTACCACAGATCGTCTGGTCGAGGGCGCTCCTTCCTCTGACGAGGCTTGGTCAGGGCGCTTCCACGGCCCACAATAATGCCTCTGGGCGATTTAATAAACACTTCGTCGACCAGGACTTGAGACCACAACGTTCCCAGCTCGGTTCCACAGCTGGCACGTCTACACACTTCTCTTCTCTTCGAGATATATCACTAGGGGTTCCCTTCTGGCGGGAGCTCAAAGCCAAAGTGAGGTCAAAGCCCCTCCAGAAGCGAGCCTCACGCCTCCAGCAAAATGTCCACATCTCCTAGCCAGTCATTTATCTGTTTTCTTCTTCATTGCCCATAATCTCAAATTGTTATACATATCCAAGCAACTATTTTACATATGGGTTATCACCTCAATATTTGCTAGACCTTCTAATCAGGTCAGGCTTGATGAATAACTCTCAAGGAGGGAGACTCGTTTCTCCTGCAGGCTGAGATCATAACACAAGTCTCCTCGCTAGTGAGTGATGTGCCCTCCACCTACCGCCAAATGTTGGAAACTTGGGGAATTATTTGCTATATTTAATTCAAAGTTCCGAATGGATGGAAACATTACTGGCATGAATTTATAATGTCATAATAAAGTGCGTTATATAACAGCAGATTGTTTCCCCCTCTGCAAATCATTTTATCTAAATGACGTTAGATAGACGATAAATATTCATAGTGGAAATTCAGTTCATCGCTTTGTTTACTGGAACAGCTGATCGCAGCGGTACAAAATTATTTACGGTTAACAGCTATATAATTTGCTAAATAAATATAAATCTATTACCAATCGATATTACTCTATAAATAATACAAGGTTAGATTGAATGTAATTTGATTTCTTAAAATATATAATTTATTTTCGAGGGAGCCGGGCAACTGACGCAATACTGGGCCCAGATATTAGTAAAATGTCCTGTATGAGGCTACTTATTAGTAATGTTAGTAAATATGAATTCTTAGTACAATAAATTTAGAGTATTGTACTAAGGGTTAGTATTTGGGTGTTGGAAATTTCCAACAAATGCCTCGCAAATGATGTATAATGCCTCACCAATGATGTATAATAATCACACAGTACCGGAGTGAACACTAGTACTGGTGTTACTGGAGTCAATACTAGTACTGGTGTTACTGGTGTAAACACTAGTACTGGTGTAAACACTAGTACTGGTGTAAACACTAGTACTGGTGTAAACACTAGTACTGGTGTAAACACTAGTACTGGTGGTGCTGATGTGCACACCAGTACTGGCGTGACTGCTATTCCTTTGTGTTCGGCCTTTACCTAGTCTGGGACACTTGTCCTTTGGGTAGTTTCGCTGGGTTGTCCTCCTAGGGACATATATAACCACAGCTTGCTGGTAAAGGTCCGGTACATCACCGAAGGAGCACAGTATCCCCCTAGGAAGTGAGAGAGTTTAAATATATATTTACAAAGAAATTAACAGTAACATGAAAACAAAATTAGTCATTGGAGCTCTAACATGTCCGCTCTGTACCATTAATTAATATGCAAGAATCAGAAATATAGAGATAGGCCATGTATTGACAATATTTTTCACGCTAAATCATCAATAAAGAGAGACTGAAATATATTCTGAAATCTGAACTCTCACTATATAACTACTCCGTATTCATTCAAAACTGAGAGAGTTGTGGAAGTTACATTGCCTTGAAATGTGCAAGGGTTGTGTACAATGGAGAAATGAAGTGGACTCGCTGTCTTATGCTCATGTGCACAGGTGCTCAAGCTGCTGCACATGCAGCTGCGACCGCCGTGTTTACTGTTATCGGGAAGAGTACGGCGTGAGCAGCTCAACACCGTCAAGATGGTACATCATTGCTGGCACATTATACATGAGGCAGATGGTCAGCTATTTGGGAATGTTTTCAGGTGTGTGGAGTCAAGAGGCAGGTGTGTGAGTTCAAGAGGCAAGTTTAGTACAGTAGATAGAGGCTTGCTTGAGGTGTGAGGTCACTCACCTATCAGGGCAGGTGCCTTAGGGTACATGTCACTCACCTCTCAGGGCAGGTGCCTAAGGGTACAGGTCACGTCACTCACCTCTCAGGAGGTTGTCCGAGGGTACAGGTCACTTACCTCTCAGGGCAGGTGTCTAAGGGTACAGGTCACTCACCTCTCAGGGAAGGTGCCTGAGGGTACAGGTCACTCACCTCTCAGGGAAGGTGCCTGAGGGTACAGGTCACTCACCTCTCAGGGCAGATGTCTGAGAGTACAGGTCACCTCTCAGGGCAGGTGCCTGAAGGTACAGGTCACACATCTCTCAGGGCAGGTGTCTAAGGGTACAGGTCACACATCTCTCAGGGCAGGTGCCTGAGGTTACAGGTCACTTACCTCTCAGGGCAGGTGTCTAAGGGTACAGGTCACTCACCTCTCAGGACAGGTGTCTAAGGGTACAGGTCACTCACCTCTCAGGGCAGGTGTCTAAGGGTACAGGTCACACATCTCTCAGGGCAGGTGCCTGAGGTTACAGGTCACTTACCTCTCAGAGCAGGTGTCTAAGGGTACAGGTCACTCACCTCTCAGGGCAGGTGCCTGAGGGTACACGTCACTTACCTCTCAGGGCAGGTGTCTGAGGGTGCAGGT